TGTTTGTAAATCAAAGGATAAAATGCTTAAGGGGATGGATACCCCATTTTCCACGATGTGCTTATTTCACACTACATGCCTGCATCAAAGCATCTCATATACCCCATAAATACATATATCTACTATGTACCCACAAACATTTTTTAAAATAATTTAAAAATTTTTTAAATAAGGTATAACACATAGTATACTCTTTATTCTTAGAAATTTTTCTTTGTTTTGTTCTGTTTACCAATTATATTTGAAAATTAATTCTCCTATTATTTATTGAAATAAGCTATATACAAGTCAACATATCTGTTTAAGCTTTTTAATAATCCATGCCTGCAGTTGTCCATTTATGGGACACTACAGCTCTCAAACTGAAGATAACATTAATCATTTGGTAGCTACACTTACAGGTCAAGACCAAGCTAGAGCAGGAACTAAGCAGCTTCAGAATATTTATGTATCCATGCCCTTTCCCCCAAAAACTTGTCGATGCTCTCTTAGGAACGTGCTCTAACACTTCAAACTACATCAGAGTAACAGGTCCGGTAGGGCTCAGCAGTCTCGCTAATCCTAACTCTATCCAAGATCCTCCCCTCTTAACCTTATTTACGGCAAGAGATGCAAGTACTGCCAAGAAAAGTACAACAAACTGGGTCTTGGCTGCTGCCTGAAAACATTTCCCCTAAAAGAGAAACATGAAAGTTTATTCAAAAGGAAACTACTCAAAAACTGCATCTGAAAATAACCACTTCCAAAATACAGCAAACTTGGGAACAACCAACTGCTTTCATGCAACAATCAAGGGAATCAAGAGTTATTCTTGTTTTTTTTTTCACCCATATTTTCATATCTAGATATTCATGTTGAATTGGGAAAAGCTAGGTATCCTTTTAGGTTCACACAGAAGAAGAGAGCTATCCCGTGCAAAATGTTGGGAGTGACCCATTCAGAGATGTACAGGAAGACAGTAATGGAGCTAGAACAGGAGAGGCTTTTAGAGATGGGAACTGGAAAATAGGTGTTCACTTTGCTCACTTCTCTTTTTAATAAAAGTCAGAAATAAATGCATCAGGAACAGTTCATCTCTCAACAAGATTTCTTTTATGTTGGTTTACAAGATAAAAGTACAGAACACCCAGTTAAATTGGAATTAAACAGCAATTAATTTTTGGTATACTTGTGTTCCATGTCATATTTGTGACACACTTACGGTAAAAAGGTATTCATTGTTTATTTACTTGAAAGTAAATGTGCTCGGCTCTCAATTTTTTATCAGTCTAGATTCATTCCCTGAACTTCAGACCCATAAAACCAATTGCTTACTTGACATCTCCATTTCAGCATCTGAGAGGCATTTTAAACTCAACATATCCAAAACTGATGTCCTGTGATCTGTCACCACCAACCCTTCTCTTCCCAGACATGGCTTTCCAGCAGTCTTCCCCATCCAATGAAGTCTTCCATTGCTTGGGTCAAAAATGTAGTCTCATCCTTAGCTACTCACTTTCACACCTCAAAATCCTTTATTTTTTATATGAGTTTCACAATTCAGAGGAAATCTCTATGCACAGTTCCTCCAGGGCCAGAGATGTCTCTTCCTTGGAACCAAGGAGCCTCTTGCCACATCTGTGTCAATCAACCAACAAATAACTATGCTTAAAGAAGGACAAAGGTGGCAACATCTTTTGCATTTATAAACTCAGTCAGCACCAAGCTTTCACTTTCACTTCTAGCAGCACTGTGGAAAGCTCTCAGTGGAAACTACTGTTGTTTGTGGTAGGGGTACAGGGGAAGCGGAGAGCAGAGAGAATCTCCTTACTTGAAACCCCCACTCTCACCCTGGTTATTAAGGAAACACTTATTCCATTTTTGGAGTGACAACATATGGCTTTCTAGAATCTTAATAATCCTTTCTGGAACCAGAGGACAAAGGAGTTTCCAGAAATTTGAAGAGAATGCACAATATGTAAATCTATGAAACATCCAAATCACAGCTTCAAAGTAGAGAACTCTAGGACATTTTCTGCCGCTTCTTTGTTGGGTACACATGATGAATGTTGTGAAGCCATGTCAAGTCTCTCTTATCAAACATCAAGGCATCCAGAACCTAGATAATCAGAGCAACTCAGAGCAGTCTGATTTTTTTGTTTCTTTTGTTTTTAGAGACGGTGTCTCACTGTGTCACCCAGGTTGGATTGCAGTGGTGCAATCATGACTCACTGCAATCTTGAACTCCTGGCAATTCTCCTGCCTCAGCCTCCCAAGTATCTGGGACTACAGGTATGTGCCACCAGACCTGGCTAATTGTTTTAAATTTTTCTGTAGAGATAGCATCTCACTATGTTGCCTAGGCTGATCTTGAACTTGCTCGCCTCGAGCAATCCTCACGCCTCGGCCTCCCAAAGTACTGGGATTAGAGGCATGAGCCACTGCACCTGGCCAGCCTGACCAGACCCATAAATAGCTTTTTTAAGTCTCCACCAGTTGTTATCTTCTGAGATTCTCAAAAAGGAGCAATGGACACCCCTAAGGTGACAACATTGTAGGAAATGAGCAGCCAAAGTGAAAAAGGTCTACTGGTTTATAATGTGTTCAGATACTTAAAGTCCTAGGCCTGCTCTGCAGAACCAAATGAAAGGTGGTGTCTTCTGTCACAAAGTTTCACTGACTATGTCATTACATCAAGAACAACGTCTCACATAAGATTCCAACAATGGCAAATACATTACCATAAATGACCAATATGATTAACAGTGTAATTTGTAAAAGTGACCAGGTGAAAATACAGTTGGGCAACCACGTGATAAAACCATTTGTAAAAATGAAAAGCAAAACAAAATTACTTTGAATCTTTCTATTAAATAGCCAGAGACTTATACAAAGTTAAGAATAAACACTGTAAGTATCAATGTACATTGTCAATGTGGGATGCAGAAGGATAAAAATTTCTTAAGGAGATTTGAAAATGATTGCACCTGACATAGAAAAGATTTTGTAAAAGTTCAACTTCAATAAATATGTTTCTACT